TTTGTCATCACTTTCCAAGACAAATACCTACCTCCCACAGCTAAGGAGAGACTGAGGCAAGAATTTCGAAACCTCAAGCAACTAAACTTGTCAGTGGCTGAGTTTGAAGCGGCCTTCACTAGTTTGTCCCGGTTTGCACCGGAGTTGGTGGCAACGGAGGAATACCATTGTACAGAATTTGAGAAGAGATTGAGAACTAAGATCTTGTTCAAGGTTACTGGAAACATGATCCAGAACTATGACCGTCTTGTGGAGGTGACGGCACATGTAGAGATTAAAGTGCAAGCCGAAGAGGAGAGACTTTGGGGTTCGAGGTCTAGAGGTAAAGAGTCTCAGAGGGACTTTAGACCTAGCAAGAAGCATAGGGGCTCTGCTTCATCTTAGCCCCAATCACAGCAGAATGGATCTACTTTCCCATAGCCGAGTATTAACCCGAGGAGGAATGCTCAGGGCAGCTTTACTTGTTTAAAGTGTAGCCAACAGGGTCACAAGACTAGTGCTTGCCCATAGAAGGGAGGAGAGTAGCAAATGTTACCACCACCACCACCACCACCAAATCGATCTTAGAGTAAGTCCCAAAGTAGGGCACAAGGACCTACATGCTTTTAGTGTGGTCAGTCGGGGCATTTGAGGAGAGCTTTCCTGCAGTTGGGAGGCGCATCTGGTGCATTAAGGTTGAGGCAGACTCAGAGCCATCAGCAGGCTCATTCTGTCCAGACCTCATGAGCTAATCAGAGAGCCACCTCGGCTCAATCAGTACAGTAGGCCTATGCTTTGAGAGATGAACAGGTTGATCAGAGGCCAAAGGGGTACGTGTATACTGTTACAGCGCCATAGTAGTCACCAAGATCCTCTATTGTGAGAGGTAATTTTATTGTGTTCAATTTCTTAGCTAGTGTGTTGATTGATACGGGTGCATTGCATTCATTTATATCTTCTGCTTTTGCTTTTATATTGGGGTTAGGGACTGATTAGTTGGAGTCTTCTTTGTGGGTTGAGTCACCAGTTGGGGCTAGAGTGGCATTGGGTCGAATGTGCCGTCATCTTAGACAAGCACACTTTTGACCTTATTTTGGGTATGAATTGGTTGACACACTTCTGGGCTACTATAGATTGTCAGCATCACCGAGTGTCCGTATGCACACCGATTGGGGATTGTTTCTATTTTCTGTGTGATCGGGGTGTTAGATCATTTCCACCGTTGTTTGACTTTAAGAGTAGAGGAGGGCTTAGTTTCCTCTTTTCCTTTGCCTTTGCCTTAGCCAATGATGGTAGCATGGTTTGGAGTGATTTACCAAGGATAGTTTGTGAATACCCAGATGTTTTCCCTGAAGATCTTACTAGGTTACCTCCTTATCAGGAGATAGAATTTTCCATTGACTTAGTGCCTCGCACGACACCAATTTCCATGGTGCCATATAGATTTGCACCCTCTGAGTTACATGAGTTAAAGATCCAACTCCAAGAACTTTTAGAAAAGGGTTTTATTTGCCCTAGTACATCACTTTGGAGAGTACCGACTCTCTTTGCGAAGAAGAAGGATGGGTCATTGCAATTGTGTATTGATTACCGCAAATTAAATCGAGTTACCTTTAAGAACAAGCATCCTCTACCCATAATAGATGACTTATTTGACCAACTTAGAGGGTCATGTTGCTTTTCAAAGATAGACTTAAGATCGGGGTACCATCAGTTAAGAGTTAGGGAGGAGGATATCTAGAAAATGACTTTTCGTACGCGTTATGACCATTAAGAATTCCTAGTAATGCCTTTCGATTTAACAAACGTACCTGCCTCTTTTATGGACTTGATGAATCGAGTCTTCCGAGAATTTTTAGACCGTTTCATGGTCATCTTTGTGGACGATATCTTGATTTATTCAACCTCTGAGGAGGAATAGGAGGAACATTTGTGAATAGTGTTTGACTTGCTTAAGGTGCACCAATTGTATGTTAAATTTGAGAAATGCGAGTTTTGGCTTACTGAAGTGAAATTTTTGCGGCATGTTGTATCGAGAGAAGGAGTAACCATAGATTCTTCTAAGATCGATGTTATGCAATATTGGGAACAACCTAAGAATGCTTTTGAGATCCGGAGCTTCTTAGGGTTAGCCGGGTATTATCGTCGTTTCGTAAGGGACTTCTCTAGACTAGCCGCACCTTTTACCAGGTTGACAAGGAAGGGTGTCAAATTCGTATGGAACGAGACTTGTGAGAAGTCATTCCAAGAACTTAAGACTAGGTTTACCACCATACCGGTTTTGATAATTCCGAAAATGGACTTGGGTTATACCATTTATTGTGATACGTCCCGGGATGGTCTTGGTTGTGTGTTGATACAAGAAGGAAAGGTTGTGGCTTATGGTTCACGACAATTGAAAACTCATGAGAAGAACTACCCCACCCATGATTTAGAGTTAACGGCGATAATTTTTGCTTTGAAGATTTGGAGGCATTATTTGTATAGCGAGAAGTTAAATATTGTTTTCCTAAAAAGATTTGAATTTACGTTAATGAAGATGGATGTAATTTATGGAGGATTATGACTTTGAGTTACACTATCATCCGGGAAAAGCCAATGTTATGGCCGATGCCTTAAGTCGGAAGTCTGTGAGCAGTGTGGCAAATGTAGCCATTCGAGAATGGGATATGCTAGGAGATATCGGCGAGTTTAATTTGCATCTAAGGGATCTAGCGAGGGTGCTACCTTATTTACTTTAATTGCTTAACCTACCTTGATTAGCAGAGTCATAGAGGCACAACAGGGTGTTCGTAAGGTGGAGACAGCGGGTTTGCTACAACCCTTACTTATAGCCGTGTGGAAATGGGAACATATTACCATGAACTTTGTAGTTGGGATTCCTAAAACACAGCGGGGTAATGATGCGATTTGGCTGATTGTTGATAGCTTGACTAAGTCTACGCACTTCATTCCGATGAGCACTGACAACTCAATTGATTATTTGGTAGAGTTGTACATTAGAGATATAGTTCAACTTCATGAGATTCCTGTAACCATTATTTTGGATAGAGATCCTCATTTCACCGTCCGGTTGTGGCAAAACCTTCAAGAGGCGTTGGGAACTAAGTTGACCCTTAGAACCGTTTATCATTCTCAGATCGATGGGTAGTCAGAGTGTACTATTCAAATTTTGGAGGACATGCTTAGAGCTCGTGTCCTTGATTTCAAGGGGTCTCGGGAGAGGCACCTACCATTGATTGAGTTCGCTTATAACAATAGTTATCAGGTAAGTATCAGAATGGCACCGTTCGAGGCCTTGTATGGCTGAACTTGTAGAATACCAGTTTATTGGGCTCAAGTGGATGATGCACCGATGTTGGGCCCGGAGATTGCTCAAAAGACGACCGAGAAAGTTGCTCTCATTAGAAAAAGGTTAGTTACGGCTCAAAGTTGATAGCAGAGTTATGCCGATAAGAGAATGTGACCTTTATCTTTCGATGTTGGTGACCATATGTTTCTTAAGATCTCGCAGAGACAAGGTTTGATAAGATTTGGTAAGAGTGGGAAGTTGTCTTTAAGGTTTATTGGACCTTTTGAGATTTTTTAGAACGGATTGGGGAAGTGGCATACTGTTTGGCCTTACTGTCACAACTTTCTAGGGTTCACAACGTGTTCCATGTATCTATGCTTATGAAGTACAAACCTGACCTTTCACATGTACTTGATTGGGTTGACTTGGAGGTAGATGAGGATGCCTCATACGAAGAGTGACCGATTCAAATTTTAGATGGCTGAGAACAAGTGTTGAGGGGCAAGACTATACCGTTCGTAAAGATGTTATGGAAACACCATGGGGTTGAGGAATCAGCTTGGGAACATGAGGCAGAAGTCCGCTCCTAGTATCTAGATTTATTTGAGAACACTTAGTTTATTCTAAATTGTAATTTTCTCTTGTGTTTGAGAATAAATCGTTGAAATTGTAAACCACTTGTTGTTATGATTGTTATTGTCTTTTTAAGCATGAGAATTGTTGTAGGATTGTTACAATTGTTGTTGAACTTATGCTTATGATTATTGTAGTAGTGGTTGATTATGTCAATTTAGTCTAATTGATAATGCCAATTAAATTTTTTTAAGAAAAATGATCACTTAATATTGGTTTAAATTAATTCATTGAGTTGAACGAATTTATATAATTTTTCTTATAAAAACATGACATGTGCTATTCATATATATATATATATAAAGAGGGGGCAAATTTTTTTTCAAATGACAAGAGAATTAAGGCTATTTATACATTCTTGCTTGTATATTGTTGGGGCAAAATTTTGTTTCACTCCAACAAGGAGTAACAAATTGTAAAAAAAAAATCATAATAAATAAAACTTTGAAAACACTACAAAAATTTCAATTTTTCACGACGGCAAAATGATGTCGCTAATACTCCTAATGCCATCTCAAAAAACTTTTAGCGACGACAAATGACTTTTAGCAATGACAAATGGGAGGTCACAACAGGTCACAATAGAGGGTATTGCTAAAACGTTTTACCGACGACATGATGTCGTTGCCTTTTTTTGCGACGGCAAATGTTGGCTTTTGCGACGGCGTTTTATTATCGCCTATAATATGTAAAAATTGAGACCTTTTGCGACGGCAGTGTTGTACCGTTGCTAAAAATTTTCTTTGAGATGGCAAAAAAATGCTGTCGTGAAATTTTTATTTTTTATTTTTTTTTGGCGACGGCATGACCTCTGTCGCCAAAATTCTTTTGCGATAGCATTGCCTATGTCACCAAAAAATATATATATATATATATATACATTTTAGCTCTAATGTTTTTTGCGATGATGTGGTGCCATCACAAAATTAAAAAAAGAAAAAAGAAAAAAAAAAGCTGCAATAAAATTATTAAAAATATTCAAATTACATGTATTAAATGAAAAAAAAAAATTGAAAAAAATATCAGTAATTGCATAATAATATAAAAAATTTTGTATAGAAATAACAATTTCTCCATAATACAAAATATTCTTGCATTCATAACTAGACATCAGCAAAATTGCCCCACTACATAATGTTGCATAATACATATATAACATTTAAATACATAAGGTTGTTCACAATTCAAAAAAACATGAACTAAAAACAAAAGTTTTCCTCATTATTCTCTGTGGGTAACGAAAACAAAGTTAATCGTATTCTTCACAAAAACTCCTACATGGAAAATATCTGAAAACAAAAAAAAAAATTAATTAATGACAATATAATTATGTGTTAATATGTTAATTACAAAAAAACATAAAAATTTAACTGCTATACAATTACAAAAATAATTAAGTAAATAATTTTGCCTATACCAAAATCTGGCTCTAACTCCCAAACCGGAAACCCGATTCGAGTCCCGTCTTCTCCCACAAGTCTCTCATGCCTAGGCGGTCATGTATGCTAAGTTTCGTGATAATCCGAAGCTCTTTGGTGATTTTGGGGCGTCAACACCTTGAATTCAAAGTTTCTTAAGGAACTAATTTGCCCAAATCAAAATTCGGTTTTAACTCCTAAACCGGGAACCTGATTCGAGTCTTGTCTTCTCCCATAAGTTTCTCGTGCCTAGGCGGTCGTGTGTGCCAAGTTTCGTGCTAATCCGACGCCGTTTGGTGATTTTGGGCATCAACACCTAGAATTCTAAATTTCTTAAGGAACTAGTTTGTCTAGACAGAAATCCGGCTATGACTCCCAAACCAGGAACCTAATTCGAGTCCTGTCTTTTCCCACGAGTCTCTCATGCCTAAGCGGTCATGTGTGCCAAGTTTCATGTTAATCTAAAGTTGTTTGGTGATTTTGAGGCGTCAACATCTCGAATTCTAAGTTTCTTGAGGAACTAATTTGCCTAGACCGAAATCCAGCTCTAACTCTCGAACCGGGAACTTGATTCGAGTCTCGCCTTCTCCCACAAGTCTCTCGTGCCTAAGCGGTCATGTGTGCCAAGTTTCGTGCTAATCCAATACCGTTTGGTGATTTTGGGGCGTCAACACCTCGAATTCTAAGTTTCTTAAGGAACTAGTTTGCCTACACCGAAATCTGGCTCTAACTCTCAAACCGGGAACCTGATTCGAGTCCCGTCTTCTCCCACATGTCTCTCGTGCCTAGGCGGTCGTGTGTGCCAAGTATTGTGCTAATCCGACACCGTTTGGTGATTTTGGGGGTCAACACCTCGAATTCTAAGTTTCTTAAGGAACTAGTTTGCCTCTGGCTCTAACTCCCAAATCGGGAACCCGATTCGAGTCTCCTCTTCTCCCACAAGTCTCTCATGCTTAGGCGGTCGTGTCTGCCAAGTTTCGTGGTAATCCGATGTTCTTTTGTGATTTTGGGGCGTCAACACCTCGAATTCTAAGTTTCTTATGGAACTAGTTTGCCTAGACGGAAATCCGGTTCTAACTCACAAACGGGAACCCGATTCAAGTCCTATCTTCTCCCACAAGTCTCTCATGCCTAGGAGGTCGTGTGTGCCAAGTTTCGTGCTAATCCAATGTCGTTTGGTGATTTTGGGGCATTAACACCTCGAATTCTAAGTTTCTTAAACTTGCATCATCAGAGACGCTTGTGTGTGCCAAGTTTTATTTTCATGACTCAAACTTGCATCATCAGAGATGTAAAGGCAAGCCCTAGCATATACCAATCCAGATGAGAATTATGTGGTGTGAATTAGAACTTCTAAAGGAATATGTCAACTAACATAGTACGTATTTATCATATACCCTATGGTGGAAATGGCAAGTGACAATCCAATGTAACAGTATAACAAATTGCTGGACGAATCAATTGGGCAAATGCCTATAAACTATTTGGTTTTGAATGTTTGAATTACATTGCTTAGACAATATGACAGAATAAGTTTACCAATCTACTAAGGTTTTAGCGCCCACGATGAACGAATGCCTTATCCATCCTCCTATACGATGTATGTACTTAAACAAGACATTGTGTTGCTCAACAACATTCCATTAGACTTAAACCAAACAGGCCATGTTATGGGATTGATAAATGATAGAAACTCATGCATAAATGAGTTATATTATACCTGGTGCCAAGATATTAAAGCAGACGAACCTATAAACTTTTGTTGGAGAAACTGGAACACATCCACCACGCACTCCCTTTCCATAGATGTAGTTTACTTTTGGTTCATATGGTTGTCCATCAGGGTAGAATGCAAGCCCACGAAAAGCACAATGGCCTGCATACTTGGGCTCTGAGAATCACATCCACTTGGCGATTGGAGAGCGGATTCCATCACAGCCAATCACAATCTGCCGAAAAAAAGTTTTGAACTCCAAGAATTTAATTATTTTGCCCAAACAGTTAAAGAAAAAGATCTAAAGTATTATATCCATAAATTAAATTAAGACACAAAACAATTTCTATGATACAATCTAATGATCAAACTCTTTGTTGATGTCTAAAATATGCTCAACAGAGAGATGCATTAAATGAACTGAAAAGAAGTTGACCTTTGCAGATAGCTTTGTCCCATTCATGAGTTCCAATGAAGTTTCACCTGATTCGCTTCTTTCAATCTTTGCTAATTTTGAGGAAAAACTAATTGCATCCGGTGGTAGTTGATTGGCAAGAGTCTCTAGAAATATCCTCCTCTCCACAGCACGAACCTCTTGGCTATGGCATCATCATGTAATTATTAGAAAATTTTGATGCGTTTTGTTGTGACCAAGAACAACAAAGAGATAACTAGAATTGTTACCTTTTATCATCGTCTTTGAACCTAAATATGCATAGCTCTATTCCATCTTCTGATTTTACTGACATCCTGCACAGCGGATGCCATGAAAAAGTTCAGGAGAAAAAGAATACATAGACACACCTAAAAAAAAAAAACAAAAAAAGGAAAGAGGAAAGGAAAGAAAGCTCCTTATGCTTATGCTTTTAGTTATCCTTATATTTAACCTAGACAAGTTTACCAACACAAAGTAAGCACAAATGATAAAAACCATTTGTATGATTCAAACATTTCTAGACTCGATGACATCCCAAAGTGATTAATGCTATAAACTTCCAAATTTGCCAATATGTGCACTGTTTTCTAGACTCTTGAAATATTTCTTGTGCATCAAGTGCATCTCATTTGCATTCAAGCATGCCAACAGAAGTATGTCATTCACTTACCTTATTCCAACAAATTACGTTAAGCAAGCAGCCTCTAATTTTAATTAATATGTTGGAATATTTTGGCGGTGTCAACACCTCAATATTTAAGGAAACATGTTAACAATGTGAGGGCATTAATGGCAGCAAAACCATATGAAGTTTAAGCTGGAAAGTGGATCCCACTGTTTATTTTTGCACATTGACACTAGGCATAAGGAAATACAATATTCACAATACCTTAATACTTGTGCAATGCAATTACTCTCTAACAAAGCTAAACTTTTAACAAAAGATTCCAACCCTCAATATTATGAAATAATCAGAGTAAAGCTTTTGCATTATTTTCGCAAAGGAATTAGACATAGCTATATCACAGTACATAAGAAAATCCACCAACAAAATAAAAACTTATTTCAATCCTAATTTCCATATTAGGGGGAGCAAAAAAAAAAAAAAAAAGAAGAGGAAAGCAACAGTTGCCTCTCTATAAATAGTTTAATTAGTCAAATAAATGGAAAGCAAAGAGCAAAACAACACATAAGAAAACCCACCGACATATATATATATATATATGTGTGTGTGTGTGCATACAAATTGACAACATGTACATATATCTCTTCACCTTTAAGCAGCCAAAAAATTCAATCAAAATTAGCCCCTCTTTTATAACTAGGTGTCGGGGCTCTTGACTAATACCAGAACCTTGAAGTTAAAAACAAAAATGATAAGGTTCATTAATTGAGATTAATAATTTATTATATTTATATATATATATATTTATATTATAAATACAATATATGTTAAAATGATCGGTTTTGATTTAATTCAATACATAGAATACTTGAATCGATACCAAATCAAAAATAAAATAAAAATCAAATTAAAAAATCACACAAACCAATTCATGTGCTTTTGTTAGCATAAGAACTTCATATTTGGCCTACCCAACTGGGTTTCTCAAGGGATATTTTGGCAAAACCATGTGGACTTGTTCATGCACTCCATGTGTTTGTTAATTTGTTTTGAAAGAGACCCATTTCTTGTTATGTGCCTTGAATAACCTGTTGGATTGTTAGGAAGAGGTTTTATTTGTCAAAGGGAAGCCTTTAATTGCATTTTTCTATGATCTATCATGCTTTATCTTAGTTTTCTATTTCAATACAATGGTGGTGTGCTACAGAGATGATGGCCTTGTTCAGATTAGGGAACAATGCCACCAAACTCTGTATATCATGAGAGAAGAAGGCTTACCAAAAAGAAGAACAAGCACAAAAAAAAAAAAAAAACTCTGTATATCATGAGAGAAGAAGGCTTACCAAAAAGAAGAACAAGCAAAAAAAAAAAAAACACTCGCAAAGCAGCGAGAAAGACCCAATGTCAACCATGGCGAATGACCCAACGACAAAGGTATCAGCAAAGGTATCTGAGACGTCGCACCGCCGCTGCTGCTGCCGCCGCTGTTAGCCGTCGTCACTCGCTGCTCATCATCGTCACTGGCTGTTCGCCGTCGTCCATCCTGGCTACTGCTGCCACTGACGCTGCTTGTAGTCGTGAGAGAGAGAGAGAGAGAGAGAGAGAGAAAGAGAGAGAGAGATAGTATTGGGGATTTTTGAAATTGGAGATTTTTTGTTTAGGGGATTGGGGATTGGGGATTTGAGATCGTGAGAAACAAAAGAAAATAGGGGAATTTGGATAGAAAGAACGAGAAAACGAAAGAAAAAGAAGAAAAGAAGAGGAGAGTTAGGATAGGCAAACGACGTCGTTTTATTTATTTTTTGTTAAAATAATTTTTTTTTTTCTAATTAATGAATTTTTTTTTTAACTTTTCATTTTTTTTAGTTAATAAGGTTGAAAATTTATTTGTTTCATTTTTATTTCAATGAACAAAAATTTATTATTTTTTATTTGGTAGAAGTAGGGATAATATTTTAATGAAAAATATTTTTCGTTAAAATAAAGTTAATTTTTTGTGGTCAATGAAAAATATTTTTCTGCAGCCCATTTGGTTTGGTTACTAAAAATCAGGAACTAATTTTTTGTGGTAGAGAAAAGGGAGAGGCAGTAGTGATAAAGGTGGTAGATAAGAGGTGACGATGGTGGTGGTGGTGATGACGAAGGAGATTAGTGGTGAAGTTGTGGTAGTGGTAAAGGATATAGAGTGGCGGTGGTGGCGGAGAGGTAATGGTAGTAATAGTGGCAGTAGTAATAGTGGTAGTAGTGGAGTGGTGGCGATGGCGGTAGTAATGGCAGTCGTAGAGGTGGAGTGGCAACAATGGTAGTAGTGGTGGTAGTGGAATGACATTTGCAGCAGTGGTGAAGGTGGTAGAGGAGATGAGTGGTGAGAGAGAGAGAGATGAGTGAGAGACAGATAGAGAAGATAGATAGAGACAGAGACAGAGTGATGAGCAAGAGAGAGAAAGTGGTCGCTAAAAGTGCATTTTTTGTAGTAGATCGATAAATCGAGATGGATCTCGGTAAATAGAGAAGATGGGGGAGAGAGTGAGCAAGGTGAACACAGTGGGAGAGAGAGAGACAGACAGATAGACAAATATATAGGCAGACAGAGAGAGAAAGAAATATAGAAGAGTAATGAGTGAGAGGGAGAGAAACAGAGAGAGAGAAACAAGAGATGAGCGAGAGATAAACAAAAAGAGAGAGAAAGAAAGAGAAAAGAGATGAACGAGAGAGAGACATAGAAAAAGACAGAGAAGAGAGATGAGCAAGAAAGAGAGAGATTGAGAGAAGAGAGATGAGCGAGAGAAGAGAGATAAGCAAGAAAGATAGAGAGAAGAGAGATGAACGAGAGAGACAGAGACAGAAGAGAAATGAGAGAGATAAAGATAAGAGAGATGAGCGAGAGAAGAGAGATAAGCAAGAAGATAGAGAGAAGAGAGATGAACGAGAGAGACAGAGACAGAAGAGAAATGAGAGAAAAGATAAGAGAGATGAGCGAGAGACACAGAGAGAAAGAGACAGACAAATAGACAGATAGACAGGAAAAAGTGATGAGTGAGAGAGAGAAAGAGAAAGAGAGACGGGACAGAGATAGAAAGACAAGAAGATGAAAAAATAGGTGAAAAAAGAAATGTTATATCAAAAGAGTAAGATGACGTCCTTTTTTTTAAAAAAAAAAAAAATTGCGACAGAAAAATACCGTTGCATTTATTCAAATCATTTTGTGATTGTATATATATGAAGTTGTCTTATGTTTGGTTTGGATTTCTGGAGTGATTTTGGGAAAAAAAATTTAGAAAGTTTGTTTGGTTTGTAAATTTTCCAAAACAATTTTCAAAATCACTTTCTCTCTCTTACCTATCAATCAACCACTTTTTCTCTCTCCTCTCTCCTTCTCAATCACTTTTTCTCTCAAACATATCTACTCAATTATAACAAAATATCAAATCATTCCAAACTCCCAAACTCCAAAATTACTTTCAAAATAGACAACCAAACAAACCAAAAAAATTTCTAAACTCTCTCCCCAAAACAATTTTTAAAAACTACTCTCCCAAAAACAAACCAAACATGCCCATAATATTTTTTTTTTAACTTTTTTTTTTTTGCAACGGTACCTATTACAATCGCAAAAAATTCTTCTTCTTTTTTTTTTGCGATTACAGCTGGTGCTGTCGCAAAAACTCTATTTTTTCGCGAAAACAATCTCTACTGCCGCAAATACTCTCCTTTTTTGAGACAAAAATTTTTGCCGTTGCAAATACTCTCATTTTTCGAGACAGCATTTTCTGTCGTCATAAATACTCTACTTTTTCACGACAGCAAGTTGTGCCGTCACACAAGGTCACTTTTTGAGACGGCAAGTGTGTTGTCGCAAATGCTTCCATCTTTTAAGTCTACTTTTCTTGTAGTGAAAATACGTTTTCATTAGCATAAATAAAAGTATATTGATGTCAAGCAAAAAAATACAAGAGTGTATCATTATTTTCCAATTAAAAAAGGGCCAATATAAGAGTAGAGTAATGTGATACTAATTTTTTTAATTATGTAAATTGATTATTCAAATTTTTAGTTGTATGGAAGTAAAATTCTGAGTTTTCTTGGGTGAATAAAATTCTGAGTTGAGTAATGTGACAATTAGAATTTATAATGAACACCAATGAAAATAATATATATATATATATTGTAGAAAATCAATTTACATAAAAAAAAATTAATATAAAGTATTTTACGTCAAAACAAACAGAGTCTAAGGTGATATGATAAAACTAAAAACTGAAAACTGAAAAAGTAACTTCAAAAAATCGAATGCTGAATTGTTAAACTGGAATAAAAAATGATAATTTTTTTTGAGTAAGTTACAAATATACCCCTTAAGATTTTTGGGGCGGACTTCGATGGGTGCCATTTTGTTTATCAAAGCTATCCCTTTATTCACTTGTCCTTTCCCTAGAGTGCTTAAAGCGCTGCCAGTTCGAGAGGCCTTATTGCAGGTATTGATTGGCCAACATCGTAATATCATTGTTGAAGGTGATGCTAAGGCAGTGTATCAGAGCCTTAATGGTGCTATGCAACTTCCTCAAGACATTGTCGTAATTGTGCAAGACTGTCGAACATTAAGTCTTTCTTTCCATTCAGTCTGTTTTCGTTTTGTTCCGCGTATTTGTAACGGTGTAGCGCATGATAATGTGCACCATGCTCTGTCAATTGATGAGGCTAGAGTGTGGGACGTTTGTTTTCCATCCTGGTGTTTACACTCCCATCAATCTGATATCGGGCCGCTAGACCAATTGTAATTATCTCATGAATAAAACTATTCTTTCTTTGGCAAAAAAAAAAAAAAAAAGATTTGCTTAAAATACTGATTGGTGGTCCACCAACCTAATCCTTTTGGGTCCAGGCCCGGCCCTGGCCATAGGCCCACAAGGCCATGGCTTAGGGCCCATCAAAATAGGTCCAAAATAGGGCTCCTTCCTATTATAAGTAAGTATAATATGTTAGGTATGTTTTATGTTCAAAAAAATAAAAAATAAAAAGCCCAAACTAACTTAATTTTTTTGACCCATTAAAAGGCCAACAGTTAAGGCCCAGCCCAATAGTTTGAAAGGCCCATTTTTTCTAATTCCTAACCATATCTTCTCTTAATCCAACCTTCCATACATTTGTTTGATAGCACACACTAGCAACCCACGATGAAGCAACGGCAAGTAGGTAAATTTTTTTTTCTATTCAATTAATTAAATATTTATCTTGTCTTTTGCACAATTAATTGCTATTATAATATTAGTATTTACATCATCAAGAATAATTTATTTAAGTTTAATAGCTCACATCACATAATTTAAAGTTTTGTGTTTTGTTAAGTTGTGGTGCTCTTGTTTTGAATTTTGATTTAAAAAAATATTTTGATCTCAGCACAGCAAGCATAGGTAAATATTTTTTTTTTCTATTCAATTAATTAAATATTTGTCC